TATTGATATAATATGATACATTCATAAAACCGTGATCTTTGATTAAGTAACACGTTTCTAAATTATTTTTTTTTTATAAAAAGGTCCAACAAAACCCTCCACCCCACCTTTTATTAAAAAATACATGTAGATAACAAGATATCAAGCAGATGTATTTGTATTTTTTTGTTTTAGTAACAGTAACTGCAAATAGTAGTAGATAGATATATTTAAGTTTTTAAACATTCAACTGCTAGTTGTGGAATAAATTCCATTCGGTCCAGGTTTCAGACGGGATTCGAACCCGCAGCTCCCGCTGTTCGGGCGGACCATAACAATAACTGTGTCAAAAATCAAAACTACTGAAAGGCCATTGGTACACGATTATACTTTAACATAATCTACTATATAAAAATAAGTCGGGTTTTCCTTCCTGACGCTATAACTCCAGAACGCACGAACCGATTTCCACGGTTTTGCATTCGTTGGAAAGGTCTCGGGCTCCGTGAGGTTTATAGCAAAGAAAATTCAGGAAAAATTAAAAAAAAAAATCGTTTTCTTTTAATCACAAAACGAAATGTTACATAAAACGAAGCTATCTGGTGGCGAAACGGAGTTCGCTGGGTTTGCTAGTCATACATATAAAATAGTAGAATCGACCACCAGATGTTAAGTGAAGGCGGAGTCCAGACGCGAAGATAGCTGATGCAACAGTATGCGTTTATTTAAACGCCAGGGGTTACCTGAGCTACTGCGGATCCCTACCACGGAACCCTAAGGGGTCCAAAACTCCATCTTAGAAAACTCAGATTTGAACAATTAAGAACTATGATATGAAGTCTGTAAGTAGTCCGAAGTCAGTAAGTAACAGTGGATATATGTGTTGTATTTTTCCATTCACAAAATTATAAAACGAACATGTTGAGTTATAGTCAAGGTTGTGAGATGAAATTATAATTGACGACGAAAAGAGCAGTTTTTTTTCTAGCCTACATCTTAAAATAGAGCTGTCGATACAGATTTGTCTGTGCTATAATTTTTATCCAGTTTTGTTTTTCTTCGTTTCCTTATACAACCAATCATAGTTTACATTTATATGTATGTATGTTTTTTTTACATGAGAATACGGATGTACCTACTAAATACAAGTAGCGGCAAACTTTTTGAGCAAAACCATAGACAAAGAAACTGGCGCTGTAGACGTGTTTGTATGTAAAATTGCTCACGATGTTTGCCGGTGTGTATTTCGGTCAGTTTCGTTGTACCAACCATTGTAATCATCCTTAAGGTCCCATCTATACTAAATACTAGCTGTCCCAGCGAACATCGTACCGCCATAAAAAATATGGGTTGGTGGTAGAAGGGTGAAAATTTAGTGTTGTATATATTTTTGTATGATGTATCATAAAAAATAAAAACAGAAAATTATGCCCAAAAAAAATTTTAAGGATCCACCTAACATTTACGGGGATGAAAAATACATGTTGTCCGATTCTCAGACCTACTGAATATGCATATAAAATTTCACGAAAATCGGTCGAGCCGTTTCGGAGTTATTCAATTACGCACACCACGACACGGATTTCATATATTAGGAGATTATAAAGAGGTAAAGTTTGTGAGATTGTGGGGGATATAATCTCTGAATTTACTGAACCGATATTGAAAATTCTTTTACCTACTATTAGAAAGCCACGTTATAGATATTAACGGGAACTCAGAGTATCAGATCGCGAGTATTGTGTGCCGGGAACAAATGCGAGTGAATAGTGAGAATGTGACCAGTGGTAGGGGTATCGAACGCACTAAAAGACGACGTCAGAGGGTAGACCGATATGTCTGCCAATAACATCTACCCGCAATTACTTCAGTTACTCCGTAATCATGGCGCTTGCAACAGTGCAAAATATCGGAGACTCATAAAAAACAAGGTACATGGTAACAATCCCGTTAATATGTATAATGTTAGTGACGATGAAAGTTTAAAACAATATATTGAAAGCCACGTTTTTTGTGAGAGTCATAGGCTAAATACTGTCATGACTCAGGCACAAAATAATGCTCGTATTCTGCAGGGGTTCGAATCCAGAACCAGGCGACATCTTTTTTATGTTTATGCAAGCAAACGAGCCGACAATCCAAGTCCGTGGTCACTGCTGCCCATGGACACTTCTAGCACCAAAATTACCATTCATGCGTTGCCGGTTCTGAAGAAAAAGGTTTACTTGCCTTTTCAAGACTGTCATATCATAGCTAAGAGGGAAAACCGCAGATGTTGCTGGTATGCAAGAAAGAGGAATGCGCATAACACATGGTGTTAAATAGCCAAGCGCCCAGATGGTCGCGGTGAAACTTTTCTCTGCGGCGTGTGAAAACTTGAAAAGCGGTGTACATACTAATCCTTCACCGAGGTCTTTCTTCGAGGAGTTTCATATGTCATCATAATATCCAATGGTGGAGAAACGTCAAAAAGTTCTAGCCCGAAACGAAATCAGATTATGATATTTTTTACGAGATGTTGCAAGCATATAAATCTAAAACAGGTATATTTAAAGTTAAATAAAAATATATATAAAGTTAATGTCCTTAATGGTTATAATACTACCCACCTTTAACCCTAGAATACTTAGTAAAGTCATTTGCTTGCACGACCTATGACGTTTTATGGTGGTAATTATAGTTGTAAAAAACGATAAGCCAAAGAAGATATTAAGTTTAATTTTTATTAATAATAATAATCAAGGTAGTCCTTCCGCGATCTAAAAAAAGATGGCAATCAGGCTTTACTGAATAATCCTACTAATATCATAAATGTAAATGTTTGCTTGTTTGTTACTCAATCACGCAGAAACTACTGAACAGATTTGTATGAAATTTGGTACGCATATAGTTTATGACCTGGATTGAGACATTTGATTTTATTCCTAGAAATTTTAGGTTCCTGTGGGATTCTCAAAAACTAAAGTTAACGCGGACGAAGTTGCGGGTGGTATATGTATATCGCGGTAATACCTCTATAGCTAGCACTTCCCTGCTTGTTAGTATTGCTGGCTAGGCTCGGTGGCTCAGGAATTTGCTAGACAGTGATGAACTCGGACTTTACCGAGTTTGTAAGGGGTGTCTGCCGTTGTTTTTTAATTATTGAGGCCTAGGCGGCATAGTGTCCATAATTCATAATAGCAAATCATAAAGCTGTAAATCGACATTTGCCAGATGTAAGGCAAAATATCCGATGGTGTTCATTAATTTGGTATTTATATGCTGTTTTGGGTAATTTTAAGCAGATATTTTCTGAAATATTATTATTATTTATTTTTTTAGAGCCCGACGAACGTAATCGAAATAGAATATTGAGGATTAAAGATAAATGGAAAATTACAAAATAATGATTGATACGGTAAAAATAATCGTGACTACTTTTTACTTCACCGCGCCATCGAACTCTGATGATTTGAATTTAGATTGCATACTATACTATAAACAGAGAGGTACTTGACCAACAAAATGATTTAAGATGGAAAAATACATAAAATAATAACCATAACAAAATGCAGCAAAACAATAATAATATCAAGAGTGGGAATGTTTCGCCAGGAAAACCGTAAAAATATATCGCTCGAATCTTATGCATAAATTTTTGAACGATTTAAAAAATGAACTAATGGTTGAACTTTTTGTTACAGCCTCTTAAATTTTGTTCTAGTGCCAAAGTCGTTGATGTATAAAGTGGAAAAAAATCATTATTAGCAGCAGTTTTTTATTATGTTTTGTTCAAATTTGTTTTTGCGCAAGTAATCATCAAACATCGTAACATATCGAAGATGAGGTTGGTTGCCTTGGTTTTTGTTTGTATTTGTAAAATAAAGCGAGGATAAATGCCTTCTAATGACGTGGGTCTATTTTATGATTCTGCATTTATCCGTGGTCATATTTTGTCTAATAGTTTTTTTTTTATTATATTAAGGCAACTGTACATGATATAACTACTTGATAACTTATAGCAAATTTTTGAATATTAAAGTAAATTATGAACATTGTTTTTTTTCCACTTCAAACATTAAAAGTTGTATGTCAAAATCTTTCCCAGAATCTAATGATTTACCTTACATATAAACAGGTCCTCAACATAACCCTCCTTTATTGGCTTCGCTTCGCTTATAGTCGGGTAAAATAATTGTTTGGCTTAAAGAAACACACGTCGGGGTGCCTCAGGAAATGGTTTTATTCTCGAGTATGATGACTGTCGATTAACTCAACAATAATAATATTATTTATTGATTATCATGGAAAATTATTAACATGGTAATGACGATATCTCATTGTGTGTCATTGCATTGAATTGTGATAGTTCCCAAGGTGACGAGAAATATTTTAATGCGATACGTATAAGATATGTACTTGCAATTATTCAAAGATGGACTTTTTGAAGTTTAAGAATTTCATTTGATACAAGGAAATAAAATAGCCTACGTCTTTAAATATCTTGAATAAATGGATTTCCTAAAAAAAAAAAATGTTTTATCTTATTTTTCTGACAAAAAATTGGTGTTTTCTCCGAGGTAACGCTTGTTTCTATACCAAAATTCACTAAGACAAATTCAGTAGCTTAGACGTGAAATCGTAACAGACAGGCATATGAGCAGACAGACAAAATAACTTTCGATTTAATACAAAACAAAATTCGGAACGGTAGGTAAGGTACATTTATTATACATGAACAAAGACGCAGGAATTAACTGTTTCATCACTCGTATTAAACAAAAAATGCGGAATTTATAAACATAACACCTTGTGAAGACAATAATATAATTTATTTATCATTCGCATCTAAGTGTTTTTATTAAATATTAGGTTAGGTATCTTATTAAGACGCTTCTCTACTATAATTTTGGACGTCAAATGAGATGTAGCTGCTTGCTAGGACTCAATGAAGGAACACATATCCCAGCTGCTACAATAACTGCCGATACGATGGAATCAAATTACTTTGACTTATCTTTACGTATTCTTATTGTTGACAGAATGCCCGCTTACGACAATCATGGGGCTACAATCTCTTTGGAAGACGTGCGGCCTGCTGTTCAGCTGGACTTGGCTGCCAGAAGACGGGAGCTGAAGACTCAGATATCAACGTTGACCACCAGGAAAGAGCAGGCAGTGTGCGTGAGGCACGCTTACAAAAGATACGGGTCCAAGAGCAACCCCAATGTTATCCTGGACGGACTGAACATGACAGTCCCAAAAGGTGCCATGTGAGTGATTAACTTGAAATTCTATTGTGTGTGTCTTCTTTATATTTCTCTTTGGGCCACCTGCACCAACATCCTCAATGAAATTAAAGCTTTATCCTGTTTAACATACCATTTCATCTTTATCAATTGTTTAAAGTCAATAAGAGATAGAATGGGGCTGTAAAAAGATTGAAAGAACAAATACACTTAGTCGTTAGCCCGTATACGATTGCCTATGGAATTCGGACAAATGACTAACTGTAGACGAACGGAGTCAGAGTTTGTTTTGGCTCCCCCCAATCTGGTAATACTGAGGTATGTTCCAACTAGACGTGGGTGCAGAGTCGTTAAAGATATATATGAGGCACTTTAGTAGAGGAGTTTACCTTGAAATTGGATAGCACGTCTGGGGAATTACCCTTTAGTAGAATGCAGCTACATAGCACTACAACTTTTTTATATTTTGATGTAAAATAAGACTAATATTACAGTTTCAATAACCCACACGAAACGAACGCGGCGATGGTCCTAGGAAATAATTTTTATTTCCTTCAGGAAAGTGAGATTAAGGAAAAAAGTTCAAAAACAAAATTCCATCTTTTGATATTCATAACTTTTTAATGGCGCACGGATAGACTTTTTATATTACATTAGCAGCGTCTCGACTGCTCCAAAAGATCTCCACAACTATCTGCTAAACAACGAACCAACGCACTGCTCGCACCTCAGCGGGCTCCTGCGACCTTTATCTTCGGTCCACAATCCACATGGTGGGAGGTTTGTTTACTTAGTATTGCCCTGGCCATCTTTTGTCATGCAGTTTAATAAACATGCTTTTCACTTTTGTATTGCAGATATGGTCTTCTCGGTGCGTCTGGATGCGGAAAGACTACTCTATTGTCCTGCATCGTGGGTCGGAGGAGGCTGAATTCCGGTGACATATGGGTGCTGGGTGGAAGACCCGGCAGTCCTGGAAGCGGGGTGCCCGGACCAAGGATTGGATATATGCCACAGGTATGTTAAGAAGATGTAGGATTTTTACCAACTATGGAGTAGGAAGGTAATTATGTTATCCCAAATAAAGCAACTTTTGATAAAAAGCAAATTAGTTTAGATTCATGTTTATTTGTTGGTAAAGCGAAATTTATTGTAGGTGTCAATTAAATCCAAGCAAAACCGTAAAACCGTCTGAGATTATTTACAAACATCATCTAAGATTAATGGTAAAAATACCTTTAAGTTGGATAAGTTAAGTAGTATACTATTAATTTGTTAGCTAATTTTGGCCTGAAACACATAACGCTGGGTTTACAAGTCTCAATCTAGGTGATTAGAATACTTTTAATCTGTGATAGTTACATTTCTGAGATACGAATTCCAACGTAACATTAACGGTGATATCGTATTTAGTAAAGATGAAACTCATTACCTATCCAACGTTCATTGATTTTAGAGCTATTTCACTGTTATATAGTTAATGAAAACATAGTTTACCTTCTCGTACTCGCCCACGTTCACCCTTTAAATAACATCGTGCCATTAGATGCATCTTTCTTTATCTAACGGTTACCCACAAAGCCACATAAAGTCACGTGTTTTGTCTCGGCCTATTGCCTGATAGAGGTTTCAGGTAAAATTACCCCAGTTCCTAATTTACTGTTAATGTGAATTATTCAAACAGTGGAACGCAATTCCAGTGTTTTTTGTGTCGAATGGGGATGTTTTAAGTGAAATATTGCTATCGACCTATACAGACAGGTAAGTAGGTTTAAAGTTTCTTATTAGGGTTTTTGCAGAAATCACCATCAGTATCAGTGGATTGTGGGTATTTTTAACCGAACCAATGTAAAAAAATGTTTACGTTAATATAACACAACACGTTTACAGAAGTTATAAACGACGTTATTGTAACGGTTTGTGAGGTTTCGATGATAGTATTAAAATTTTATCCATAGATGCGGGTTTAGGTCGCTGAATCTCACAATAGTTTCATTCACACTGCCTAATTAGATCGACGTCTTTGAGCGCGCCAAAGAATAATAGTGCAGTTGAGTGAGTTTGGATGCAACTTCGGCCTTCGCTAATAATACCAAATTGGGTTGGGCTTTTGGTGCCATATTCATATTTAGTTTGAGAAGCTCATTTGGATCATAAATTTAAACGATATTTTTTACCTTATATATCAAATCTAAATTACTTTGCTTCACCGGGTGTCTTGTGTGGGTGGAGTTTAGTTGCGAAAATTGCCCTTTTTTACGGTTCCTATCTGTCTGTCAATCAAGACCCTTTATCTCGGGAATGTGTAGAGGTATCCAGTTAAAATTTAAACTATAAACTCAGGCCACTTGAAGGTATGAATAAATCATACATAATATTTTAGTCTCAAATTATTTGTTGAAGATTTGACTAGAATTTCGCATTGAAACAATGGAACTCCTCAATTGTACAAAGCATTAAATAGAAATAAATTATTTATAGTAGCGGTGTTTTAAGCTCCCAGTTCAACATTGTAATATAAATCACATCAATAAAATTAATAAGAAAATTAAATTATTTGAATCTTTGCTTTCACTGCAATGGCAGGTAATTATACTAATTGTTTAGGTACCTAATAGACTTTTACTGCAAGTTATTATATTCATTAAATGAATAATTCAAGTTTTGGCCTTTAAATAATGTAATTCCATTTGATCATTAACGATCATTAGTAATGAGTAAATATTTTTTAATAGACTCAGTACGCAGAGCCGTACTTGGAATTAGTATTCCCGAGTTCCTTATCATTATTTCAAGGGTGGACAAAGGCTTGGAGTGCTCGGTGCTTCTCAACAATGTTTCAAACACTATTTTGTAAATCTAAACCAACACAATGGTTTCGCGATTCGATAGTCAAATAAATCATCAATAAATACGATAGTAGGTATTTTTGATATGCGTACGTTTCACTTCCGTATCTCTCTCTGTCAACACGCACTGGTCAAAGACTTTTGTCTTGAGACACTAAGGTTATTACGACGCGAAAATTTTCCGTAGCTTGGAATCCATTGCTTTCTCGTAAGCACGCAATATACAAGCAATATACTCTATTGATTGTTATCTTGCTGGCTAAAAATATTTTATTTTGATTTAATCACATTTATGTAAGTAGATTTAAATTCTATTTATTATAGAGTTACCTCGTCCTAGTGCCTTAAATTGTCATAAATCAATGTAATTGCAATGCGAAATTGTAACTTTTGTAAATATTACCAATGCACCAACAGCCACATATCGAGTTATACAACAGTGTTAAATTTCTCTATTTGTGTTTTTTCCATTTAACCTAAGATTCCATGCCCTAACTCTTGAGAGAATTTGTCAGATTGTGGTACTTGTGGTGTTGTTGAAGGTTAGATGACTGTACTGTTATTTGTTCTTTGCAAATGTCATAGTGCGAGCTGTGCGAGTTATATTTAGATTTTAAGTATTTGTTATTGTTAAATATTTATTATGGTTCATTTTCATGCGAATGCAACATGCTATGTTACTTTAAACATTTTGTTGTTTGGCATTAAATATTGCAGCAGCGGGTAATCGTGACATCATCTGCGTGGAATAATTACATACCCAATGTTTTTACCATCATAATTTTATCCTCTATGTTTTATCATTCCAAGTGCACTTTTTATGGTTTTATAGATATAACAGCGTCATAAAGTTACCCATATCCTGTTCCAAGGTATCTTTTCTATTCTTGTTCTAAGCGGCCGCCCGTGACTTCGTCCACGTTAGCTTTAGTGTTTTGAGTATACCCCGGGAACCTAACATTGTTTCGGGATAAAAAGTATCGTATGCCTCAAACCAGATAATAAACTGCATATATGTGAGCCATATTTCATCCAAATCCGTTTAGCCGTTTTTCGTAATTGATAAACAAACATAAAAACTTGCACATTTATCATTTAGTACGAAGTACAATCAAAATTCATTTAAATCAGCGTGAAAGCAGGAAAACAGACAGAGTTAGAGTCGTATTTTGAATTAGGAAGCAATACTACATAACAGTAATTTACGAATGTACTAATTGCAAAGCTGTCATTTTATTTTCTATATGGCTCCCTACCTTGTTTATTATTGACTTGACTTGCCTATAGACCAGGGTCGATAATTTTAAAAATGGTGAAAAGTGAAAAAAAATTATAGTAGGATGAAACCCTTTTCTAATGGGTTTCCATTAGAAAAGGTAGAGAATATAACAAAAATGAAAGGAAAAATAAATTACGGGCGATCTGAGGTCGGGAAGGGGGAGGGGGTGAGTTTTTAAGGGTAAAAAAGGGTTAATCTCGATTTCCGGTAAAACTGCAAGTCCTATGAAAAAAAGTTAAATAGCAAAGTTGTAGGTAATAAAAAGATCTACAATTTTTGTATCGACACTTTTTCACATAACCTCAAAATTTATGTGAAAAATGCTAATAACCGAGTTTTTGGTTTTTGATTTTTATTTTTTGCAAAAAAAAATATTTTTTCACGAAATTTGGTGAAAACTTACCTTTGTATGTCCCAAATATACAGTAATTTTTTTTATTTAAAATATTCATTTTTTCACCTTATTTTGACTTAATATCCAAAAAGCACCCTAATTTTCAATCAAAAATTCTCACGTCAAAATATCTGCTTTTTTAAAAAAGTTGGGTTGTTTTTTGTTTGTTGAAATCTCTACTTTCGGATGGTATAAAAAAATATACACTACTATGATAAATGTTCTCAGAAAATGCAAATTAATAATGAAAAAAACTCGAATCCGAAAATCCTATTTTTAATATCTACTTACAATAACTATTTTTGCATGTTTTATGGATTTGTAATTTTTCTGTTTATCAATATAACATGAAATCTTACGTTTTTCGAGTAATTAAAGTGTAAATTTTAATAAATAGTTCAAAATTATACATAATGATTCAAATCAATTTTTCGGATTGGAGTTTTTTACCCTCCGAGTAACGGTCTGTCTGTAAAGCTAGAAATTCTTATGGTGATGAGCCATAGCATGCTTAGTACGATAAGCATCGTCTGGCACTCCTCAGCCCTGTACGTGTCACTGCAAAGTGTCAAAAATATATTAAAAAAAAACTTGTTGCTGTAAGCTTGAAATTTTGATACAATGCAGTTTATTCATTTTTAAGTTAAAAAAAAATGCCAGACATTTACGATGAGCACAAGTACCTGCCAGACGAACCGGAAGGTGTGTAATATATATGTTACGCTCAAAGATCGAAAACGTTCAGTGAGCGGAAAAATAGCTCACAACGCGTTGTGGTCACAGTAAAACATCCACATGGCGAAATTTGTGTTATGGCTCTAACGAAAACGCGCACGACGCGTTGTGGCAATCACAGAAAGACCAAATAGCGAAATTCGTGTCGTGGCTGACATGCTATTCGATCACAACGCGTTGTGGCAATGAAGAAAAGCCATGACGCGTTCTGAGCATTCATTGTTTTAACCATATCACAACGGACAGGTTGTAAGTTGATAGAGGACGTGCAGCACCCAGGAATGTTATGTGTGTTGTTGTGAGCATTAATCCATCAGGTCTCTACCAGTTAGGAAACAAGGAAGGTACATTCGGTAGACTTTTTGCACGTAATGAGTTTACACTTTCTGTAACCAACTTTATTAACATTTGTGATGTGCCCTCAACTTCGTCATTCACACTTCGCTCAGTATCTATGTTATCATCTGGAAGTAAGCAAGGGTTTATAATGTGCCACTGCAAAAGACACTGTATTGATAAAAAATGCAAGTGTCGCTCCAAGAATATAAAATTAAACTCAAAATGCCACAGTAATAGTTCCTGTAAAAATAAATAGCAACAAATACTAATTTTTCACAATTATAGTAATTTCTAATATAAGTAATTGATTTAAGTACATTGTTGTTGTTTATTGGTGATCAATAAACATTTATGTTTGTGTTTAATATTTTTATTACTTGAAAGAATTTTAAATTGTCGTAAAAAAATTAAAATCCCTAAT